CCCAGAAGCCTGGAAAAAAAGATGTTCTTGCTGTCTTAGGTGTGGTTTTAAAAAGTAGGGTTCTATCTTAGACTTTTCTAATGCAACACTCACCTTAATGTTACTGTAGTGAGGCAGCATAATAGCACAGATGTTAAGCTTCATTTTTTTTTTACTGCAGTTACTCTTATTTTCCAGATTTCTACAATTATAATGGTCATTTTATTTACTGCTTGCCTTTGCTAGCACCATACTTTTAAATTTCCTCCCCAGTTTCTACCTATATTATTTCTTACTCCTTTTCCAGAAGAAACTTTAGGCCAGCTTTTTGTTCTGTGTTTGTACAGCACCTAGCCATATATGGGCCCCAATCCATGAGTGGGTCTCCTAGACATCCCTATAATACAAGTAATAGTGGCCAGCACTGTGGTTGGCAGTGTTTGTACACACAATAAGAGCATTGTGTATCATGCCAGTAAGCATCACCTATCAGGTTGAACAGCTATGATAAATTAATATTCACTTTGGACATTCAGTATGTGGGACTTACAACTGAGCTATTCCACAGGAAAATTGATTGGAATGTCTGTTCTCCTGGGTAGACACATTTACTTCTGAAATGAATGCCTCCCACCAGGAACTACTGTTTTGTTCTGATTATAAATTGGCCTTTTATTTCTTCAAAAAGGACTGTTATGTTCTACTTATTTGGAAGGTTGACAAGCAGGCTATAATTGCATTGTATGACTCATTTTCTGTTGACCCTTGTAGAAACATTGAATTATACTTAGGCAAAAGGCTGGTTTTGAACCGAAATATGAACCAAAGGAGATGGGTTTGACTTATAATCAGAACAATATGGTATTCCAAAGTAGCTCAAGCCATTTAAATTCACATCCAACTGTATCAAAGAAAAATACCCTTGTGTAGATAAGCCCTGTTCTTGAAGGAAAGTGTGACTTGTCAAAGAAGTTACCCTGAATATAAAATTTCCTGAAGCAGAGATGCACCAGCAAATGAGCTCACAGATCTGCAGGTTGCCAGCAACTGTCTAACTTGGAACTGAAGTGGCGTTTCAAGGAAGCTGAAGTATGTTGATGTATTTTTGCTGGATAATTGTCCCTTTGGTGAAGCAGTCAGACAGCCTGTCAGTCTGGCCCTCTGGCTGTGGTTATAGAACATTGTAAAGCATTGCACCAGAGATGTAAACAGGAAACAATTAGGACTGTTGAGCTATTTGGAAGAGAAAGGAGCTGTCTGCCTGGGACAGAACCAGGATGAAAGACAGGATCAAATAATCAACAGAAACTGAGTCAAGTTGCCATATTGCTGCCTGGACCTCAGAACATTGCTCAATCTGTGTACAAGTTTTGCTGCCCCACACACCCCAGCTGGGACAGTATGGGAATAGCAGAGTGGTGAAGTTCTCTATTCAGGGGGTAAAAGGAAGCTGCCAAGGCAGCTGGATGGGATGTAACACTTCTCTAGAGGTCTGTCACTGAGGACACTACCACAACATGAGCCTGATATAGGATGAGAGACAGAAAGGTGATCCAGTGCTGTGTCTGATAGACAGGGGAGTGGAGACGTAAGGGAAAGGGAATGTCAGTCCTAATGAAGCAGGGACATGAGGGCCCCCAAGGTGCTGAGTCTTTGTTCCTGGAGAAGTGTCCAGGGTTTGCTTTGGCCAGTCAGTTTAAGTCTTCCAATTGATAGAGTGGACTAAGATGTAAAGCACCAGGTTTACAAGGTATGGTTGAGCTACTGACCTGCCTGAAAGTTTGCTCTTCACCCACTGCCCATGTAGAAGAACAGGTTCAAACATCCTCTTGAACAAATTTGCCTGAGATTATATCCAATTCCCATGGTATGTGCCCCATGCTATCATGAAAGGCCAACTCATGAGTCTTATCTTCACTCATTTTCTGAGACACAAAAAAGTCCAAGTTCACAATAGTTTCCAGACCTCCATGAAGAGTAGTGTCTTCCTTCTAAATCACAGAGTATGAAAGCACTTGAGGCCACACTTAGCCCTGGTGTGACTATTTTGATTTCAGTGGAATCATACCAGGATGGCATTGGCCCCAAGCTTGTCATTAGAAATCCATTGAGAAGGGGGCAAAGCGTACCACAAGACAGGTTTTCTACCAGTGGACGGATTGCATTAAAACTCACTGTCTGCTGCTTCACGTTGCATTTTCACAACACATGCATAGGACAGATTGCCTGACAAATTGAATTTGACAAGCACTATGCTAAAAAGTTGGTGGAAATTAGCTTGCCCTGTGCTGTTACCATTCACAGGCAGTTAATGAGCATTTCAGGAAGGTACTGATGCCTTGCTTCACAGCCAAGAAACCTTTTTAAAATATCTTATTAGTTGCTCTTCCCCATGGCTCATGCCTGTTGCTTACTTCTTGATGAGGTGTGCTCTCTGGTCCACTTTGGATTTGCTTGCAGATCACTCCATGTATTATAACAACAAGCATAGAGCAGAGCTAGAGCATTTTCATAGATGATCTAATAGGTCATTGAGTCCAACCCCCTGCCCTGGGCAGGAGAGAGTGCTGAGGTCAGATGACCCCAGCCAGGTTTTTGTCCAGTCTTCTCTTAAATACCTCCAAGGAAGGGGATAGCACCACCTCCCTTGGAAGCATATTCCATATTTTGGCAACGCTCACTGTAAAGATTTTTTTCTTGAAGTCCAGTCTAAATTTGCTGTCCTTCAGTTTGTGGTCATTGTTTCTAGTTACCCTGATGGGTGCTGTGGTAAACATTGTATCCCCTATTTCCTGCTGTCCCCCCATGATGAGTTTGTAGACAGCCACAAGATCACCTCTTAGCCTTCTCTTGCGGAGGCTGAAGAGATTCAGATCCCTCAGTTGGTCTTCATAGGGTTTTTTCTGTAGGCCTTTAACCAGATAGGTGGTCCTCCTATGAACCCTTTCCAGGTTATCTACATCCTTCCTGAAGTGCGGTGACCAAAACTGGACACAGTACTCCAGCTGCAGCCTCACCAATGCCACATAGAGGGGAAGTATCACCTCCTTAGACCTGTTTGTGATGCACCTACTTATGCAAGAAAGAGTGCGGTTAGCTTTGCTTATTGCTTCATTACATTGGTGACTCATGTTCATTTTGGAGTGGACTACAACTCTAAGATCCATTTCCACAATTGTGCTGCTTAGAATGGTACCTCCCAGGCTATAGGGGTGTTGATGATTTTCATATGTTGTCTTTGAAATCCTGTTAATGAGCATAACCTGAGATTTGAGAAACATGCTGTGCCTGCTTAGGAAGGCAAGTCATGAAAAAGCATTAAGTTGAATTCTTGGTCACACAACATCTTTAAGGTACCAGGGGTAGCAAACCACTTCAACCCTGAGGCAAATGTGGGACAACAGACATATCAGAGACTCAAAATGAGGAGTAATGGAAGAGGAAGCATGAAATGTTAGTGGATTCCTATCTGTAAAACATGCAGTGCTTTCTATCTTCCATCTGTGATGGATGGATAGAGTGCATCTAGTCTGTGTGGGACAGCGGTAAACCTGTCTCCAACAGAGTTAGCTTGTCTCAGGTTAGAAAGCCAGACTGGAGAGAGAGGGGGAGTGACTGTTTCAAATAAACCAAATTATTTGCAGAACCTTGCATCTAATTTAGTTTTCTTCCCTGGGAGACCCAAGAAAATGGTGGTTTTTTTCTCATGCAGACTGTTTTATAACCTCTTTTAACATGACAATACTTCAACTCAAAATTGCACTCTGTAATCCTATAGACATTAGGGATGCAAAATACTTATTCACAGCACTGTGCTTATAAACTTGGATTTTTATGTCAATCAGCTTTCAAAGAGCTGTCAGTATAGGACATGTCTGGTGCATGCAGGCAGTAATTAGAATTCAAAGCAAGTAATTGCTTTGTGTATACATACATGCACACATGTGCATGCTTACACACACACACACACACACACACACACACACACTTATATAAACATATATACATATATATATACATACACACACACACGTAATTTTTCAGTGGTTCATGGCTTAGTCTTGTAAAGCTGCCAGGTTAAGAGCTTGCTTACCAAACAAGTCCAGTTAAAGTCTTCAGGGTACTTGCCTTATTTTTTCTTATTTTTATTACAGTAACAGAAGCCCCATCTGAGGTAGGAGCCCCCTTTTGCTAAGCAGTGTATATGGTAAGAGCCTCCCCCCTTACTGCAGGTGGTTAAAATTCAAGTAAACAAGATAGAATATGGGAGGGGTAATGAAGATTAAATGACTGGCATGGGGTTGTACTGTAGGGCAGTGAAAGAGTTGGAAAGAGGGACTCTCTAGACTCCTGCACCAGTGGTTCTCCAAAACTAGGCTGCAGAATTGCTGTAAGGAGCTGTAAGGACAGGCTAGCAGAGGATCCTTTGGTGCCAAGTAGTGTCATGTGAGGCACTGACTCGCTACAGGCATGCTTACCCAAAACAGGACACTGCACAAGCACTTCAGGGCAACACTGAGGGCAGGCTGAGTAGCCAGTATGGGAGGCAGAGCTAATTAGCCCAAGCACAGCACTGCACTAGTATAGCTACGCTGCTTCTGGGCTGGGAGGTTGTAAGCGTGGAGCAGTTCATGACATGACATGACCTGGCACCAAGGGAGCTTTTCAGAACTAGATTTTGCTCAGTAAGTGCACAGCAATGCCTTGTACCAACATAGAGCCATATTAAGCACTGTACATGATGCTCTTTCCAGTTTTGGCTACGTTGCTTCCAGGCCTGGCGGTTGATGGATCCACCGTACTAAACAAGCTCTAGACATTTTTTTTGCTAGGAATGTTGTTGTTGTCAGTACCTTAATGCAGGTAATTAAACAGAGCCAGAAGACACACGACTGACCTAAAGTTGACAGCTGACACCCTTTTTTGTGGTTCTGGTATAAAAGAAAGTGATCTAAATGTGTCTGTTTCTAGATCTATTAAAACCCTCCTGGCTTATTTTTGTACTTGTGTTGTCTTCACAGTATCTCCTTTTGGTACGGAATGAGATGACAGTTTCCCAGAAGCACCTGGGAGAATTCTGTAGCTCCCTTAAGCAGTACTTGAAGATTGTGGCAGGAGAGAGGGACTGTTTCCAGTAAGTATGATTCTTCCCTTTTCTGATGGAAAGCGAGAGCACCTGTTTCATAATGAATATCTGATTGCATAACATAGCACAGCTACTACTCCAGCTGTTCACATCCCACCAGCCTTGTCAATTATAAATCATAAATACAGACATAGATTTAATCAAGAGTTAGATAGCCCCAAACAAAATCACAAATCCAATCTCATCATAATTGCATGGGGAAGGGAAAAGGACCATCTGAAATCTAAAGTTAGAGGCAGATCCAGATTTTGCAAATGGCCCCTGCATCAAACCCCAAACATCAATCAGAAGACCTCATAAACTGAGGTTGTTGAGGTGTGATGCTAATGTAGCCTATCACTGGTGCTGGCCTGTGTGTGTGCGCACATACATGCATGTGTGCAGCTGTTTGTTAGCCAAGAGATCAGGATACATAAGGAATGCTAGCATATCTGGAAGAAATGTATTTCCTAGATGTGTCTGGTATGTTCTTCCATATATAAGTGTTTATCTTCAGTGCAAAAAAATACTGTGCACTAAACTCCAGTTAGATAACTTTTAACTCGCATTAACAGCTCCTTTTAAAGCCTATAGAGGAACTTAGGGCTCAAGTTGGGCTGCTAATCTGATTTAAAAGTCAAGTTGCCTCATCTACACAATTACTTTAACTCAAGTAAGCTAATATGGGTTACTCACAATAAACCACACCTTTTTTGGAGTAAAAACCTACCTTAGGGCATCTATACATGTGCTCTGGGGTGGGACAGGGGGACGGCGCTTTAATTAGAGAGGCTCTGGGAGCAGCTCTGGGGATGCTGTAATTAAAGCACCCACAGCATCATACCTATTCAGCATCCCATGCTTCAAAATGGTGGCAGGGACGTTTTAAGTAAAACTTGTTTGACGAGCTTTAGTTAAAGCACCTCTGCCAACATTTTGAAATGCAGGGACACTGAATACATGCGACTCAGAGGCTGCTAGAACACACTAATTAGCACACTCCAGCAGACTCACAGCAGATTCGATTAATCAAGTCTTGTCCGATGCATGCTAATTAGCACACGGAGCAGAGCTTCGGCATGGGTATAGGTGCCCCTAAGGAGTGAAGGGTTTGTGTGAAGTCCTCCGTCATTGCATATAAGGGAAAGCACTAACTGCTGGGCTCCCTTTTTCACATATACAAGAGGCAAAGCAGAAGCAAAGGAAGCAATGTGCTCAGAGGGGTCGTCAAGTGGTGATTTTCCTGTGCTTTTCCAAGGTGCTTGAAAGTGCTGTAGTTTGAAGTGACATCACATCACTGTTATACGCTCCTGGAACAGACTGGCTAGCTCATTTGCGACAAGACTGCCCTCTTTCACCAGACAGAATCCCTGCTCTTATCAGATGCACCTGATAGCTCCTCCTAGCCTGTGACCTGGGCAATCTGTCTGTAGTTGACCTCTCACCTGCTGAGAAAGATAAAGCAACAGTTTAATGCCAGCTTCATTTTCAGGCTGAGAACAGGAGTGATAGCCTAACAGTGTAACAGTTAAACTACCCATTAGTTTATTTTGGGCAGTGGGACAGCAAACTTCAGAATCATCTGTGCTACCATTCAGATCTCAGTGGTGAATTTGTACATACTCCCATAAAACGGAGAAAGCCTGAATGTAACAACCAGTTGCTGTGCTGTTCAGCCTCTAGGCATGGTCCTGAAACATACTGAGCATCCTCAGCTCTCTGCACATATGAGTAGGAGCGGTGAGTGCTCCAAGTTTTTTTTGCCTCAAACTCATGCCATGATGCCAACGTGGGAATCAGGACATACAGGATCTTGGGGCAATTCATTCCCATACTGTAATGGCTTTCACACAAGCTGATGAGGCATCACTTGCTGTTCTCAGGCCAGTGAGGTGCCTGGAATTGTCTGTCTTGCACAAATCATGATTGAGTTGCTTTTACTCTCTCTTCGCCTTTTCAGTGTAACTGCAGTGAGGCTCCCGGATGGAGTCACCTTCATTGTCTATGAGTTCTGGGAGTCTGAGGAAGATTGGAAGAGGTAAGAGAACAAAATTTAATCCTGTCTTATGTGCAGGTGAGGGGTGTTCCAACCTGGTAGGTGTTGGTTTGGGCCATCTTTATCATCTACATGCAAGAGTGTATGCGATTCCTCTGTATGGTGAAGTGTGTGCATGCATGTGTGTGCATGAATGCAGAAGCTGCCCTCTCCATGTGAGTATCTAAAAGTTTTTTAACTTTCATCTTGCTTTTCATTTGACGTGTTCCAAGCATAGGGTTTATGATACTATACATAATAGCTAACATCTACTACTGCTAGGGCCCTGACCTGGTATCTCCTAGATGGGAAAATGCTGTGGCCAGGTGAGGCAACAAAAACTGTTTCCTTCTGGAACAGGGAGATGGAAGGTGCGGGAGCAGCAAAAGGCTCATGGGACAGGAAAATGCTACAAGGAATTTCAGGAAAGGGAGATTGGCAGGTGCAGTTTTAAAAGAAAATACTACCTTATCTCCCCTTTATGGTTGTTGTGTTTCATATAAAAATCGTTGGTCAAGTGTGACTGTAGTATGAAGGGGTTAGTAATTGTGGTGGAAATGACATGGAGGAAGGGTATTCTCAGCTTAGTTGGTAGATTTCCTTTCACTTTGGTACATAGTAAGCAAAGCACAACAGGTGACATGAATTTCAGGCTTTTTGCATCAGCAGAAGCTGGTGGACAGCCCTAGTTACCTGAACAGGCTTTTGTATTTATATTCTCTGCAAATGCAGGGTTTAAGGCAGAAGGAGCAATTTCTCCCAAACAGTGTCCTCATCAACATCCCCTTGTATTGGAAGAACCTTAAGCCCTTTTAAAAAATGGGTGTCCTTGCCATTTAACATCCAGAGAAACCTGAGGCTTTGCAAGCAAGCCCCAAGGAGAACAGGTGCCAGAAAGCAATGTGATGGTGGTGGAATTCAGGACTTGTCCTGGGTCCCTGGCTGGTAGGAGCCAAAATGACCATGGAAGCCCTCAGGCTCAGCTGAGCTGTATTAGGAAGATCAAAGACAGCAACCATGTGAAATGGGGACTTCTCAAGGCGCTAGAAAGACAGTGAGAAACTGTCAAGCATGCAGGCTGCAAGTACACACAAGGGAGGGGAAGTTAAGGCTCACTGACGCCATGGGGGTTTTTTCTCAGTGACCACAGCTTAACCATACAGCCTGAATATGGAACTGCTCCTGAGAAATAGCTCACTGATGTCACCCAGAGGCTAAGGAACATTCTGCTTGCATCTCCATTCTGTGGAAGCACCCAGGGAATCATTCAGGGTTTCTCAGACTCAGCCCAAGAAATGACTGAATTGTTGTGCTGATATTTCCACTTATCTCCCAGAGCATAAAAGTAAACTAAATGATGGAAAAGCCAACAAACACATGGATTTTATCATTGCTCTAGAGTCCTAGGACTTGAAGAAAGGTTTGTTTGACTCTCTGAGGCCAGTAGTTCCATGAGATCTACAAAGCAAGAACATTAGATAAAAGCTACAGGTTCTTATTTTTAAGTCAGCTTCTGATTCTGCACAGTAGAGGCCAGTGTTATATTATGTAGTGTAAAGAGAGGCAACTGCAGCCCTAGTGTGTAAGGTAGAGTAAGGTGTAAGGTGTGGGGGGAAGGGAGAGAGGGAGGGCAAACCCCACTAACTTCAGTCATGCTTTAGTTGCTAACAGTGGCCAAACCTACTTTACCTTAACCTGTAACAGCTCATGTTGAACCAGTATTGAACCAGTATCTCCCAGTAGGATGGGCTGTTGCATGGATCTGGCCAGTCACACTGGGCTTTCCCATGTAAAAATTTGGCACAGGCCTGCTTCCTGTTAGTTGCTAATTTACTGTAGCTGACACTAACATGAAACCAGCTTACCTTTTAAATCACATTAATTAGGCGAGTGCCCTCTGACTACAAATGTCAGGAGAAAGTTTTGCATAGGGTGTTTTACAAAATTCATCAACCCCACGGGGCAATCCCAGCCCACATAGATCCTCCATCTATTCAGGTAATGCAAATAGCCATGTCTTTTTTTGTGACTTGCTCTCCTCTGTTCCCTTACTCCTTTCAGCTGAGCTCAGGGCCAAAGTTTGGAATCTGTGTTGTACTTTGTGTATGAATACATTAGTACACTGCATGGAGAATGATGAAAAGTGTGCCTGAAAGATAGTACAAGAGACAAGGATTTCTTATAGTGATATCTTTTGTTGGACCAACTGTGTCATTGGGATAAAATTACACAAGCTTTTGAATGCAAGGCATTCTTTGTCAGGTCTTACTGAGAGTCAAACTTTCTCCTGACTAGATAGTTAGTCCAATAAAAGATATCACCCTAAGAAATCCTTGTGTCTCTCAATTTCTGAACCATCATGGCTATGACATCATTTGTACACTACTGGAAAGATAAGGAAGACACACAAAAAGAGAACACTCAGGATTGCTTCAAATTAATATAAAAATCCTGGCAAGCTAAAAAAGGGGGGACCCTGACCTAGAGAACAAACCAGAAAGGAGATGTAACTATACATGTCGTGAGTGCCATTAGTCATTGCTACTGGCAACTTCCAGTGGCAATGAGAGGCCCCAGTACAGCTGCTCTATGTACAGCAGTATAGCTGCTCTTACCCTGTTACATTAGGCCAAGACTCATCACTTGTTAATCTTTGTTCCAGACACCTGCAGAGCGCTGCTTGCAAAGGGTTCCAGCATGTGAAAGTGGACACCCTGACTCAGCCGGAGGCTGTTTCCAGTGTGTCAGTTCCAGGTAAAGCCAATAGAGGTATCTTAACACCTGAAGGGCCTTGACAAAGCTACCAGTAGAGGCAGAAGCCGCTAAAGAAACTAAGCAGCTGGATCTCAGCTTGAGTGCTAGTGACCCCTGCTCACTATTAAATAAGCCACCCCGAAGTCTGGCAGCCTTAATTCCATCAGTCTCTGCAAGACTATCTGCCCTTCATAGTAAATTTACATGAACTTCGTTGAGACATTCTCATCCTGAAGGGCAAACTGAATGTGAAGGTTCTATAAATTCATTAAGTTGTGGGCATTAAAACACCTTGCAGCTCCACATGGCTGCACAAGGATGGCCTGATTCTCTGTAGCCTTATGCTCTGTCCTTCATTACCTCTTGGTAACATTTTACGCTGTTTGCAAAGTCAGCCACGCCTTTGCACAAGAGACATGATTGCCAGTCAGTTCCATTGGGTTCATTGTCATCTCTCAGAGCAGTGTGAAATTGCATGTAGAATTGCAAATAAATTATGGATTTTAGCTTATTCAAGAGCTTTTCATTTTCAAGGACAGAAATAAGATACTGCACAGACCCTATTTCTCACTGCCAGACAAGGAGTGCACTGCCCATGTGCCAAATTTCTCAAGTCTGACTTCTGGGTAAAACCCAAGGAAATACCAACAAGTACTGACTCATTTACCAGCAGATTTTTTTTTTTTACTGCCAAAGTTATGGGCCAGGGATGTGCCTCCACCTTTTCCCCCGCCCCCAGTGGGAATAAGTTATAATGGTATAACCATATCCACAAGTTGTAAAACTTCCACAACCCCATATCATGAAAGGAATAACATTCAACTTATGTATAATGAAAAGGCCTTATTCATTTTGGGTCTCAGTTTTCCCCTGTGGATAATTGCTTAGCTCCCACAGGGGCCGTGAAATGTAACTACCTTCTAAATAAAACCCCATCCATTAGAAGATCTCCAGGGACTAAAACAGTGATGTTATATTACATAAGCAACTCCATTTTGAGCTAATAGCAAAATTCCACTAATTTACATGGGGAAGGGGTGGTTTAATTCAGGGATGTTACTCCTCCAGCTTTATACTCATTTTTCTTATCTCTTGACCGATGAGCTATTAGATGCATTCTTTTCCTCCTGCATGCTTTGGTTTGCCTGACAAAACAAGTTTTTCCAAGTCAGAATGCAGTAAGCTTTGATGTTGAATCCTTCAGTCTTCCCCTTGGGGTGGCTGTTGTGCCTGCAAAGCTCAGGGGAAGATGTTGAGCACTCTGAGATGTTGAGTTGACTCTGTGTTCTTCTCACAGCGGCCTGGTGCACCCTGAACAGAGACTAACTGCATTCCTGGAGAAGACACAGAAAGGTGAACAGTGCAACTTTCAGACTTTCACCTTCTTGTCTTTTTCTGTCTTCTGAATTCTCTCTTCCTTTACAGAGGACTAAACTCCTGTCTTTTCTAATGACTTTGTTACAAGTATTGTCTTTTGAATACACTTCTAACCAGGAATGTCAGAAATGTATGTTTGCTGTTTGAAGTGAAGGAAAACAAACCAAAACAAAAAAAAAACCTTACACCTACTACATCAGTTCCCCAAAGATCATCTCTCAAACAGGCCTGGAGTGGAGTATGTTGTCTGCCTCCTCATCACCAGAGCCCTGTTGCTGTTTGAGAGACCACAGAGCCATGGGGTCTTTTCTAGGCTCTGTGACACTAAGCAAAACTTATTTATTATTCTCAGTAAGGTGGGAATAATTAAATAAATGAACATGTGGCCAAAGCCTGACTCTCAGAATTGACTCTTCAGCAGCAATGGCCTAATTTTCAGAAGTGCTGTAATTTCCATAGATTTCAGTAAAACAGTAGGTTTTTGGCACTACAGAAAATAGATAGGGAGGACACTGGAGCACAGGCCCAACAGTATGATTCAGTCTGGCCAGCCCTTTCCGTGATGAGGCCAGCAGAAGCCACTTTTACTCAGAAAGTTTTGTTCCAGATAGATGTTAGTTTTTTCATGTAGTAAGCTTGTAAGAATACATTTTGCAATGGAATCTATACTCTTTCTCTAGAATTCAGCATTGCCATTTACTTATGAAATAAATCCAGCTGTGATGTATCAGCAGCTCAGAGCTGCCTAGTGGAACAGGCCTAATTTGAGAAGGAGAGTCACTCTGCCTTAGAATTGATGCACCATTTTTAGATTTTTAATTTAATTGTTGTTTTTGTCCTATGTAGTCAGGAAGAAAATGAAAACTGTTTTTCTTCCTCCTCTTCAATTCCTGTGTCAAACTGAAGTTTCCTTCACTTTAAAGCCAATGCATGCTAACTAAGCCTTGATGTACTATAGATGCCTTCTTGCTGTAGAAAGTAGCAATCTATTCCTTTACTAAGTTTAGTGCATTTTTTATTTGTTTTTACTGGGAACTACTGCAGGGGAACCAACTCTGAGATGCAGGCTTGCTTATTTCTTCACTTTTGACTATAATGTTTGATATTATTCTCTATGTATGTCAGCAAATGTACCTGGCTTTGAAACCATAGCAAACTACAGGGTGTCAGTATTAAGCAACATATAAGCAATTTAATATTAGAATATGTACAGTTAAGTACTAGAGATGCCAAATAAAATCTCATTGGGAAACTGCAGTGGTTTATTCTATCTTCCTGCTCCTTAGTAGAGAAATGGTATGAAAGATTTCTGCAGTCCTGGAAGAGAAATATTTGCATTAAAGTAATTTGATGACAGCTGGGAAATTCATGACTTTCTGGTAAACTGTTGCCTTCTTGCTGCATAGAATCATTTCCTATGAGGTGATAATGGTGCGGCAGATGTACATCGGTACAACATTTATCAGGCACACGCTGTACTGAACGAGGAGGTCTGTCACTTACCATATAGACCTCTAGGACAGGAAAAAATGACACATTGTGTAAAATCAGTCTTTATTTTGTTAGAAAGCTAAAAAGGATTTATTAAATTACAAAGGAAGGCTGATACACTCCTGTCAGTCACTTGGAAATGATGCTCCAAACTATCCTCTATGGAGGTGTGTTATTCGTTACAAATAGCACCAAGCTGGTCACAGTGGACCAGACTATAGGAGACCAAGTTGCGAGTATCCTTGCTAAAAGCACCTAGAGTTTATAGGACAACTCCATGATGGCAATAGTTGTGCTTTGGCCAAAGATGAAAGCTCCACAAAAGACAGAGATGACCCCCCAGACAATTAAACAGGACCTAGAAAAATAAACAGAATATAGAATTTATTCCATGGCAAGCTACCCTGGGAAACAAGTCCCTTGTATAAAGGTAAGCATAATCCTAAATACAACTTTTCCTCTAGACATTGCCTAAGTCTAAAAAAATGCCTTACATTCTTTGAGATCCTGTGTGCTTGGAAAAAAATCTCTCTACATAAAATGACTCCTGCTACCTTACTGCAGTCTTCACTATGAATTATATCATTGCTGCACAAAAAGCAAATCAGCCTTCACATGTTACAACTTATTTCACTGAGAAGGAGGGGTGCTGCCCAAAGATACCCTGTCAGGCAAGTGTCCTGCTCAGAACAGTGGGACTCACTCATGGAGAACTGGTAGTACAGGGGTGGCAGCAGTGGATGTAGCAGACAGCCATAAATGTCTGTCCTCCTCAGCAAATACTAATGAATCTCTTTCTCAAGGATGAAAGCAAACTGTTAGGTTTTTTTAGCTATGAACAAATGAGCACCCAAATCTTACATAAATCAACCTCTCTCCTACAAAGTCATTGTCCTTATTCTCCAGCCGGGTTTTTTTGAGGCATATAGACTTTCAAGATTTTTGTCCCAGGCCACACATCTTAAATGCTGTAGTACTAAGGTGCAGGAATCTAATTGCTTTCTGGCATTTGGTTTCAAGAGTGAAACAGAGGTTAGGGGCAGGACAAGATCTTTCCTCCTGTGTTCATGTTACACTCACCCAATGGTGTCAATGGCATGACTGAGTCCTAGCAACTATAGAAAGAACCTACTAAGTCCCAGGTCATGTGATGACAAGGTCCATCTCTCTGATGAAAGTAAAAATAAAAATCTTGCCTGCATTTAACATTTTAATCATTTCCACTACATCACTGCATAATTAATGGAGAGGAGATGGATGCTGGGGTAAAAAAAAAC